ATAGTATGTACCTTTGAACAATATAATACCCCTTCGGTAAAAGTCATAGGCGTTACAAACAGTTGAAATGGAAAAACTCTGGCCTCGAGGGAATTCCATCCTTTGCTAACATAATATAAAACACTTTATTTAAATTAATTCTGTATTTAATAATTGTCACCCACCTTTTAACATTATAATACCCCGGGGACAAGAGTCATTTAAGTGTTATTAAAATGCAGATGTGACGTCACCCTTTGACGTTGGCGTACCATTATTTCAAATAATGTTACGGGCAATGTGCCAAGCGTGACGTATTTCATTGGGTAGTGTCTGTATTTTATGTTGTTTACATCGCGTTATATATAGCTATTGCCCTCGTGCTAGTGCACTCGTACATTGTCAATATATTACTTAATGTCTCGCACTCGACCAATCCGAACCACAGACCCACCCTACCTGAAAGCCAGCTACCATTTAATTTTCGTACGCTAGTTACGTATGGCACTCGACCATTAAACTACACTTAATAGTTGTTACACAAAATGAAATGAAATGGCGTTTAGCATCCTAGTTTTGTGTATCAACGTGGCTAATGAAGTCTGGCATACTCAAAGCGGAGAGAGAGAGAGCGAGAGAGAGAGGAGTTAACGTTCACTTGACACAAACTAGGTCATTTCGGGACTAACATATGTTTTAATGTTCTATTTCAATAATTCGCTCGCGCGTTAGGGTCTTTAGCAGTTGGAGGAAACCGATCCTACTCCTTGTCACGTACAAGCGGGTTTTCGAAACCACGCCATTTAACCATTCGCCCCCCCCCCCCCAATACTCAAAGCAGTGTGCTATAAGGGAAAGTGGGGGTCATGGGCGAATGGTTAAAACGTGCGCGTTGGATCATAGGATCTGTCATTGAGTCAAATGACGTGGCTTCGATTCCCGATATGTACGTGACAAGGAGTAAGGAGTCACGGTGGCTAGGTGGTTAAGATGCTGGCTCGCCAGCCTGGAGGTCGGGTGTTCGATCCCTGCATTGACCGAGAAAGTTCATCAGGATTTTCCGACGTGGTTTCCCCTTGTCAATGGTGCAGAACGGTGGGCCTGACAAGGACAGCTAGTGCAGAACCGAGGTCCCGTGTATATATTGGAATGCACGTAAAAGATCCCCTGGCAGTTGGAATTCGATATAAGAGTAGGCGATAGTGCCGCTGCCCGGGAAAAATTTCCCTCATAGCACACCGTATGGCGTATGCCTGTCTTCATTAGCCCAGTATAGGAGCAAAACAGAAGGACGTTAAACCCCATTTCATTTCATTTCTCCGTGACAAGGAATAGAGTCGCAAACAATATGATAAGTAAAGCTGTTCTGTTTCTCGGACAGGGTCAGACCGAGTGTTGATCTGTTGTTGTATGGAGCGGGTGTGACAATCTGTAGATCGGGCTGTTTCTCGGACCGGGCCAGGCCGAGTGTTGATCTGTTGTTGTACGGAGCGGGTCTGACAATCTGTAGATCGGGCCGGGTCTGGCCCTATATTAAAGACTTATAATTAGGATCGGGTAGAGCTAAAATACGATATCGTTTTACTGCACATTATTGTTTAGAAACGATCAGCGTACTATGTATACGTGTATACTGTTAATCGCTATATCTAAATTGTATCCTGGTTTGTTTTGCGTCGTTATTAACAGGATATATTAAATCATTCTATTTCATGTCATTCTAATAATGGCAGTTACTAATTTGATATTTTCCGATGATAGTGCACCTGTACATGTCTGTGTCAATTTAACTCTCTAACTAAATCTTATACTACATCTTATATAATTTATTGCGTTTTGTAGCTTATGGGTGACTAAGTGGGAAAGGCGCTGACTCACTACCCTGGAGGTCGCATGTTCGATTCCTACATTGACCGAGAAAGTTCATCGTGATTTTCCGACGTGCTTACCTCGGTCATTGGTGCAGGTCGGAGGGCCTGACAAGGACAGCTGTCTAGGCATTCGGATGGGACGAAAAAGTCCCGTGTACACATTGGTGTGCACGTAAAAGATCCCTTTGCAGTTCGAATTCGATATTGGTATATGCCCGTCTTCATTATCCCAGTCGGGCCAGAACAGTAGGACATTAAAAACCACATTTCATTTCATTTAATTTGTGTAGCTTATGTTGTAAGATATTTTGCACGTAGTTTTCTAATAACGAGGTCTGTGATATACTCATTCTACACATAGAGAACTATCTACTTACTTCGGGAATAGATCTCTACCCTAAGTGGACCGCCATATCAAACAATTAGTATACTGGGGCCTGTTTCACGAAATTTTAACTAAGATAAAATTTAAATTTTAGTAATTTGATTGGATAATATTAGACTGATTGTAGTGCTTGGCCAATCAAAACTGAAGTATCTACTAAAATTTGGATTTTATCTTGAGTTAAGATTTTGGGAAACAGGACTCTGTTTTGTAATGCAGTATACTACTGATTAAACCTTTTCAGTTTTATCAAATGAAATGAAATGAAATGGGGTTTAACGTCCTACTGTTCTGCTCCTAACCTGGGCTAATGAAGACGGGCATACGCCATACAGTGTGCTATGAGGGAAATTTTGCCCGGACTACTGCCTACTCTTATATCGAATTCCAACTGCCAAGGGATCTTTTACGTGCACGCCAATGTGTACACGGGACCTCGGTTTTTCGTCCCATCCGAACGACTAGACAGCTTTCCTTGTCAGCCCCTCCGTCCTGCATCACTGACAAGGGAGAACCACGCCGGAATATCTGGATGAACTTTCTCGGCCAATGCAGGGATCGAACACCCGACCTCCAGGCTAGCGAGCTAGCGTCTTACCCACTTAGCCACGTGATCCCCTTTATTAAATAAAAGCAGAAAGTATACTTTTTAAAGTATTAGATATATGCTTAGTGTTTTCTACTAAAATCGTCGATTGAGGGAGGGAGGGAGAGAGAGAGATGGGGTTTAACGTCCAATTAACACAAACTAGGTCATTTCGGGACCAACATATGGTTTTAATTTTATTCTAATAATTCGCTTGCGCGTAGGGGTCTTTAGCAGTAGGAGGTAACCTGAGGACTCGGTGAAAACCCACGAGGTTGGACAGGCGACCCCAACCCTTGTCACGTACAACCGGGGATTCGAAATCAGGCCAGTTGACCCAATGACAGGCCTTATGATACAGCGCGCACGTGCTAACCATTCGGCCAACCAACTCCCGGTCGATTGAGTACAGGCGGAATCAGCTGTTACCATTGTCGATGTTTACGTAAGGGGGAGGGCTGGGCGTTATTCTTTTGTCAAACAAATTGAAATAAAATGAGTTTTCTTATGGCCAACCTTTTGCAGCTACCAGGTTAATGTTGTTGTATGTCAGTTGACACCACAGACGAGAGAGAGAGAGAGAGAGAGAGAGAGAGAAAGGGGGGTGTTAATGTCCACTCGATGCAAACTAGGTCATTTCCAGACCAACACATGCTTCAATTTTATTTCAATAATTTGCTTGCGCGTAGGTTTTTTTTAACGATGGGGGAAACCGGAGGACCCGGAGAAAACCCGCGAATTTGATGGTAAATGGTTGGAGATTGCCCCAAATAGTGATTGGACGGTTGATTAGGAGCATGCCAAGACGAATTGCTTAATGTCTGAGGACTGGTGGAGCAATTACTCCTTATTAAGACAAAAATCAAAAACATCAATTTTCACTTTTGACGGTGTATCTCTTTGCGAGTGAAATGGGGCCGTCAGATAAGTCGCCCATATGATCTGTTTATTTTCATGTGTAGGCAATTGGCCTGTTATTAACATACACTGGTTACCTCTAATAAAAACAGCAGTGCATTTCCGCAGTTTTGTATTGTTTCTGAATATCTCCTGCTTTTTTTTAAAGAGTATATGTGCCAGGACAGCGGCGCTGTGACCTATTCTTATTACGAATTACAAGTGTCAAGATTTATTTTTAGTGCATGCCACAGTGTACACGGGACCTCGGTTTTTCGTCCAAGTCCAACTGCCAAGAGGTGTTTTAGATGCAGGGCATCGTGTTCTGTTTACGGGACATCGTTTTGTGTGCCCTGCAATACTGTCCTGATGTTCTGTCCTGACTTGAGGGACACTTTGACCGGACAGCGGACCTACGGTAACTCTTATATCAAGTGTGAACTGCCAATGGATCTTTTACGTGCACGCCAATGTGTACACAGGATAACGTTATTTCGTCCCACAGGAACGACTGAACGCTGTCCCTTGGCAGGCCTCTGTACTGCATCCCCACGCCGAAAAATCTCGACCATCGTCTTACTCCGTGGCTCCCTGACCCCACTCATCAATAAAAGGGTCAATCTCAGGACGTCCTTGTTAGTGAGTCAGCATCTTACGCACTGGGGGGGGGGGGGGTGCGTGGGGGTGGGGGGGTGCCGTATCATAAAGTCTGTCATTGAGTCAACTGGCGTGGGTTCGAATCCCCGGTTATACGTGACAAGGAGTTGGGTCTCCTGTCCAACCTCGTGGGTTTTCTCCGGGTCCTCCGGTTTCCTCACACTGCTAAAGAACCCTACGCGCATGCGAATTATTGAAATAAAATTAAACCATATGTTAGTCCCGAAATGACCTAGTTTATGTCGAGTGGACGTTAAACCCCATTTCTCTCTCTCTCTCCCTGTCCTTACGCACTGAGTCACCGAGGCTACCCTATTTTACAAATTGGCTACACCATGTGTTGCTTTCGCTTTTACTTTTTTATTAACAAACAAGGCGCATTTGAATAATAAAAAAATGTTTAAATCCGGCTATAAGGAGAATATTAAACTGACAAAACAGCTTTAGTCATCCAATGTTGAGATGGCGTAGATAGATAAAATTTAATAATAATAAACTCTTTTATTGGCAAAACAACTTCAAACAATCTGCCGGTTGACTAATGAATACAGGTGTGAAGTTGTGTAACTGATTTTACTATAAATATGACGTGAATAATCAATAAACTTCAGTCGGAGCAGACAGATTCCTGACGTTACAACGTTACGACAGAATCCTTGAGTTACATCATTTAAAGTTGGCAAAATGTTGCGAATTATTTTGGCATCCATTTTGTGTTTTCAAGCAGTCACCATATCAGCTGACATGGCGGAAGGGATGTGTAAGTATGAAATATTTATAATAATTTTCAGAATAAACCAAAATGTCGCCATTGATCAATATTTATTAAAGATGGGGGTCACGGTGGCTAAGCGGGTAAGACGCTGGCTCGCTAGCCTCGAGATCGGTTGTTCGATCCCTGCATAGGTCGAGAAAGTTCACCCAGATTTCCCGGCGTGGTTCCCCCGTGGTTCCCCTGTGTCAGTGATGCAGGACGGGGGGCCTGCCGCCTGACAAGGACAGCCATTCGGATGAGACGAAAAACCGAGGTCCCGTGTACACATTGGCGTGCACGTAAAAGATCCCCTGACAGTTGGAATTCGGTATAAGAGTAGGCCGTAGTGCCGCTGTCCGGGCAAAATTTCCGTCGTAGCAAACTGTATGGCGTATGCCCCTCGTCATTAGCCCAGTTCGGAGCAAAACAGTAGAACGTTAAAGCCCATTTCATTTCATTTATTAAAGATGTATTAAGTAAGAGCTAAATCTGGCCATTGTATGTTTTTTTTTTTGGTTTCGAAAGTTATATAAACTATTATTTAGATGTTTATTTACATGTCAAACTTATAAACAACTATCTATAACATCGGGTGTCGCCATTAATCAGATTTTGCTTAAACATGCATTATGCAAGAGCAAAGTCTGCTTATTACAAGTCTTTCTTTAGGCCTGAAATGTTATCTAAATTATCAATTAGGCATTAATTAACTTATTCAGACCATAATAAACTCTCGATGTCAAGGCTAGCCTTCGATGTTGGCTGGATTAGATTCCTATATGCCGCTAACGGCCGTTGATAATTAAATCAGAAAAAGTGGATAATCGAGACTATACTGTTTATATTAATGATTTTAGTAATGATGACCGAGACTATGCAAAGATTTCACCTGCTTCTTTCTCGGCTCATAGTGGATCAGTTTGACTGAAATTTTCAGCAAATTACCTTTACACTATCTAGTTTTTAACTGCCATCTCTTTATCTTATCTCCCATAATGTATCTTTAATGTTTATGATAAATTTAGAACTTCTTTCAGTTTAATGCGTTAAATCGCCATTTGCATTTTTTTTTTCTTTTAGAAAATATCTAGTTTTTCACGTTTTAATTCACGCTAATATACACTTAAATTGGTTATAGCTAACTTAATTATTAAAAACCCCTTAAAATAGATAATCTCCTGGCTTGAATTCAGTCGTATTAAAAAGAGATTAATCAAAGATTATGTCTGGCACTGACTTGTTTTGACTATTTCCGGTTTACAATGATTATGTGTCTGCAGATCTAAATCTATTTGTTAAAGGGACTATCCCGATTTGAACAGAGTCTCAAAAATAAAAGTCTGAGTACGTTTGAAATTTAATAAGCGCCAAAATATAGAGGAATGGTGTGTTTACCTTGTCTCAAAAATTCATCTCACAATGTTTAGTCGTTTGGACGTGAACGTCATAAATGGTTATCCGGACACGTAACCCTTTTAAGATTTCTGGTAATTTTTTCGTTGGGGGGACCTGATAATCGATTCCCATTCCTTTAGAGTTCTATACAATGAATGACCCATGTGCTGTACTTCATAACGAAAGGTAAATTTCACCTACACATTATTTTTATAAAATAAAAGTCTGGTTTATCCATAAGCCGCATAATACAGTTTGGTACACCGGTCTCCATTTCCAGATGAAGACCGACAGGTTAAAGTTGTTTGAAAACGTATCACAAATATTGAGTTAGTTGCTCAGCTCTTTGGTAGAGGATTTTAAGGGATTTTAACACAAAATTAGGCAGTTTTATTCTCCAACATATTATCGAGATTGGCCCTTTAAGGCCAGCTCAATTTTCGTCATTTCGTCAAGGTTAGGGCACGTGATTGTTGGCGAGATTGTAGGTTAGGGTTAGGGTTAGAATTGGAGGTAGGTTCAGGGTTAGGTTTAGGGTTAGGGTTGGGATTAGCGCTGTAGCCCTGTTTAGATTTCGTGACCTTTGACCAAACTTGAAGTTGGCCTTATCAACTAGATCTAACCCGCCATCATGGTGTAAAATTACCCCTATAGTATTATAAGGGTTGAGATTAGCGCTAGACATGCTTACCAAAGTTGAAGTTGGCCTTATCAAATAGACCTAACTGTGTCTGTAGAGGATTTCCAATTCATCATAATGGTTATAAATACTGAACAGACTCCGAGATGACCCATCTGTTATAGTACGGGGCGGGGGGGGGGGGTGGATGGCCGAATGGTTAGCACGTGCGCGCTGCGCTGTATCATACGGTCTGTCATTGAGTCAACTGGCGGGGTTTCGAATCCCCGGTTGTACGTGACAAGGAGTAGGGTCGCCTGTCCAGCCTCGTGGGTCTTCTCCGGGTCCTCCGGTTTCCTCCCACTGCTAAAGACCCCTACGCGCAAGCGAATTATTGAAATAAAAAATTGAACCATGTGTTAGTCCCGAAATGACCTAGTTTGTGTCGAGTGGACGTTAAACCCCATTTCTCTCTCTCTCTCTCTCCCTCTCTCTCTCTCTGTTATAGTACTGTAGTTTACCAGCAGATTAAAACAATAACAAATGACGTGGAGGTCCCGTGTTCGATCCCGGTCTTGGTCGAGAAAGTTCATCAGGATTTTCAGGCGTGGTTCCCGCTTGTCAGTGGTGTAGGACAGGGAGTCTGGTAAGGAGCAACGTATAGTTGTTCAGATGGCATGGAAACCGAGGACCCGTGTACACATTGGCGTGCACGTAAAAGAAACCTTGGAAATGAAATGAAATGGGGTTTAACGTCATACTGTTCTGCTCCTAACCTGGGCTAATGAAGACGGGTACGCCATACAGTTTGCTATGGGGGAAATTTTGCCCGGGCAGCGGCGCTACGGCCTACTCTTATATCGAATTCCAACTGCCAAGGGATCTTTTACGTGAACGCCAATGTGTACACGGGACCTCGGTTTTTTCGTCCCATCCGAGCGAAAGAAACCTTGGCAATTGGAATTCGATACAAGACCTTAACGCCTCTGCTCGGGCAAAATTTCAATTTAAGTACAATTGAACTTGGATTAGAAACAATCTGATTAAAACACGGATCTTATTTCGTTTCGTTTTTTATAGTTCAAAATTTCGTTTTTCTTGTCTTTACTACACAAGGATCTGGAAAGAGTTGTTATCATTGACGTGCTCTGAATGATGTGCGGGATTAGCCAATGAAACGGTCTGTTACGGTGAGTTCTTGGCCTTTTAATGTAGGGAACTGTGGGTAAACCACTAGAAACGTCAACGCTGATTGATTAATCAATGTCTGACGTCATAGGGTAAAAAAAACGAAACGAAATATAGATCTGTGTTTTAATCAGATTGTACAGGCGGAAATATATGTTAAAATATGATGGTATAGTAATTCGAAAGAATTATTTCTATGATAATGTAGGGCTGTAGAAAAAAAAAAATGTAATAATAGTCTTAATTTAGGGACAATTAATATGTTATGTTTAGTTGTGCTTGGTTTGAAAGTCAATATGTGTTCCAATCTGAACGACAGACTCACCCTTCCTGCAGAGAAGTGACTCTGACACAGTGAATAGCCATGATATCCATATGACGTTATCTAAACGTCACAGGTCATGAGGTCACATCAACAAACAAATGTAAACACCATCATTATGAACGTTATCAACATTACAAGACACAATGTTACATTGTAAACAATAGCCTTCTTGCAGCCTTTAGGACTGTATAATCCGTACAGAACATCTTATTGCTTTTTCCATTGATTTTTCACAAAAATAACATCATCTACAACTCTAGATTTGACGTCGGCAAATTGGCACTATTTTGTGCTTCGTTCGTGTCTATTTCAGATATACACAATCAATTCTGTTAATGTTTTTAGTGTGGGGGTTGACTAAAAGTTAATTTATTTCAGTTCTTAACAAAAATTTAAAACTTTAACGCAATTTTAAAAAAATAGCCCAATTCTGGCTGGGATTACTGAGCAAAATGGCCATTCACTGTATACGTGCGAAATAAAAAGCCAGCTACAATTCAATTTTCGTACGTTATTTACGTACGTATGTGTTCTTGACTGGAATAGTATGCCTTTAAAGAAGAAATTGCTCAAAAATGCAAATGACGATGAGTGGTTTTAATTCTCGTTGACAATTAAGTTATCTCAAAGGTGTATATATGAATCAAGTTTCAAGTCAATATTTTTAGTATCAATACTGGGTACATGTCTATATTTCCAGCATCAATACAAGTTTAAAGTCAATATTTCCAGCATCAATATAAGTTTCATGTCTATATTGCCAGTATATATATATATAAGTTCCATGTCTATACAAGTTCCATGTCTATACAAGTTCCATGTCAATATTGCCAGTATATAAATATAAGTTCCATGTCTATATTTTCAGTATCAATACTGGGTGCAAATGGAGAAGTACTAAGAGAAAGAAGAGCAACAGGAGCATTAAACTATGACGTAAGAATCATTTCAATAATACGGACATCAGTCAAAGAAGCAATGAGTAATAGCCAATTCTGCATATTGCGAGTATTTTTCCTGGCCTTAAATGCTATTTTCTTTTAAACACTAAGAATTATGGATGGAATAACAATTACTGGTTTATTAATATGCAACGGTTTGAAGATGATACTCTCATCTTTATCAAGCGATAAACCAAATTTACTCTCATTGACGTGATTGTAAACGAAATGAAATGGAGTTTTACGTCCTACTGTTCTGCTCCTAACCTGGGCTAATGAAGACGGGCATACGCCATACAGTGTGCTATGAGGGAAATTTTGCCCGGACAGCGGCACTACGGCCTACTCTTATATCGAATTCCAACTGCCAAGGGATCTTTTACGTGCACGCCAATGTGTACACGGGACCTCGGTTTTTCGTCCCATCCGAACGACTAGACAGCTTTCCTTGTCAGCCCCTCCGTCCTGCATCACTGACAAGGGAGAACCACGCCGGAAAATCTGGATGAACTTTCTCGGCCAATGCAGGGATCGAACACCCGACCTCCAGGCTAGCGAGCTAGCGTCTTACCCACTTAGCCACGAACTGTTAACAGAAGTCCACTGGTTGGCGTGCACGTAAAACAACCGTTATAAACAGCTTGAATTTGCTGAGGAGGAGCCGGAAAACTTAACCCATAGGCCATAGCAGGGTTGGTGCAGAAATGTATGACGTTAAACTACATGCCATCTTTTATAATTTCAGCCCAATTGTGATCCAAAATATAAAACTATTACTGCCAGTCATACCATGTGTTTAATTGATGTGGGTACCGAAGTAATTTTAACACAAGCAGATAAAGACGCCATAGTGAAAACTCATAATGATTACAGAAGTGCAGTCACACCCAAGGCAACTAACATGCAAAAAATGGTAAGTTTATTTTATTTTTCTTTGAAACGATAAAATAACCGTAACTGCGTTTTAAACATTAAGCGATTTTTCTTATTGTATGCTTACTCGATTCTCTATTATTGTATGGTGACTTGTTAGGGCCTATGTGCCAGGTTGATTTCGACTCACAACTAGTGTCGTCTGTCGTCATAATGTTCAGGCTAGATGAATTTGGAGAAATGTTTTTGACAATTGTTTTGCAAGATTGGTATTCGGAGATTTGTATTTGGAAATTTGTTGTTCGAGATTTCTTTTTCATTATAATTATATGTAATGTAATTTTTTGATTTTCTCAAATAAATTCTATTTTTATATTATAATACAATTAAGCTGAGCAAAAATAGAATTTACAAATAAAATATTGATTTTAAGATACAAATGCAGAAATAAGAATTAAGGACAATGAATTAAGAACTAAGAATTAAGAACACTGAACTAAGAGCTCCTTAGTCGTCCATATAATATTTGTGACTGTTGTTTGTATGGCTGACTGTCTGTTCAGGGTTACTCTAGGGCTGTCCCGAGGCTGAATATTGGTGTATTGGAGTAGGTCGGACCGAGGAGTAACATGGACTACTACTTCCGGTTTTGAAGTTATGCTACTTCCGGTTTATGGCTACATCAGTGCTACGCCGCGTCAACCGTTAGTTATTTATAAAAATGCCAGGGCGTATAATTCTAGCTCAACGACCATGAGGTCCCGATGCTGGTCGAGAACGTTACTCGGGGATTTTCCAAACGGGGGTGGGGGTTGGAAGGCCGAATGGTTAGCATGTGCGTGCTGTATCATAAAGTCTCATTGAGTCAACTAGCGTGGTTTCGAATCCCCGGTTGTACGTGACAAGGAGTAGGGTCGCCTGTCCAACCTCGTGGGGTTTCTCCGGGACCGGGTCCTCCGGTTTCCTCCCACTGCAAAAGACCTTTACGCGCAGGCGAATTATTGAAATAAAATTGAACCATGTGTTAGTCCCGAAATGACCTAGTTTGTGTTGAGTGGACGTTAAACCCCATCTCTCTCTATCTATCTATCTATCTCTCTCTCTCCAAACGGGGGTTCCCCTTGTCAGTGGTACTTTACTTTAAAGTTGCACTGTGTAACAACTAAATCTGCCTGTTACAGGCGGATATTTTCTGGCTTTAAATGTTATATAAATTATCATTTAGACATCTATTAATATAATAAGCCTTTGCTAAACTATCTAGACCATCGGATGCTCTTGAAAATCTCTTGAAACACGATCGTCAAATAATGATATAGTTATAGGGTGGAGAAGCGAGGCATTATGTAAGAACTAGATCTAGCTGTTGCAGGTATATTTTTGTCTGGTTTTAATTTTTAAATGTGATATGAGTTGTTATTCACATGAAAAGACCATACTCAACTCTCTATACACCCCGTTTTCTTACCTTGTCAGTCGTACAGATGGCAGGGTCTAGCGCGTAAGACTAGGCGGAATCGACCGTGTGTTCAATTGATGCAGACACCGAGAGCGTTAAAGGGTGTTTCATTTCTCTGATGTTCTTGTCCTTATGTATTGAATGATTTTAGGTCTGGGATGACGAAATGGCCAAGATTGCTGCAAAATGGGCCTTACAATGCCCAGGTGGTCACGATGCATATTTGGCAAGAACAGCTGTTTGTAAGTAATATAATATGCAATCTATTATTTTGTTTATCACTCAAACATACATTATGCAAGAGCTAAATCTGTCTATTGCACGCCTTTCTTTAGGCCTGAAATGTTATCTAAATTTTTAATTAGACATTAATTAACCTATCCAGACCATAATCAACTCTAGATGGCATGGTACCCTGTGATCTGTAGTGGATTATGAGCCGATTTACTGCATAACCTTCCTTCGCGATTTAACGGTTAAATGGATGATCTAGACTATGCTGTTTATCGTACGGACTTTAGTAATGATGAACGAGGCTAGGCGGAAATTTCATTCGCTTAGTTTTAGGTTCATAGTGGATCAATTTGAATGAAATTTTCAGTAAATTGCCTTTCGGTTATCTAGTTTTTAACGATTATAACGAGAACTGCCATCTCCCATAATGTATCTTTAATTTGGTGTCTTTGTCATCTTTTATAATAATATAGCATTACAAAACATCTCGATTGGTCAGAATATGGGCGGGGGATATGATTCTTTTGCTACATGTATGAATGGATGGCATAAAGAAGTAGCGGATTACAAATTTGGTACAGGATCTATTAACGGGAAAGCAGTTGGACATTATACTCAGGTATATTCATATGTACATATGGCTTTAAGTCTGTCCTAAGGAGGGAGCCAAGGTGGCTAGGTGGTTAAGACGCTGGCTTACTAGCCTGGAGGTCGGGTGTTCGATCCCTGCATTGGCCGAGAAAGTTCATCCCGATTTTCTGACGTGGTTTCCCCTTGTCAGTGGTGCAGAACGGGGGGCCTGACAAGGACAGCTGTCTAGCCCTTCGGATGAGACGAAAAACCGAGGTCCCGTGTATATATTGGAATGCACATTGCGAGTAAAAGATCCCTTGGCAGTTGGCAGTTGGAATTCTATATAAGAGTAGGCGATAGTGCCGCTGCCCGGGCAAAATTTCCCCCTATAGCACACTGTATGGCGTATGCCTGTCTTCATTAGCCCAGTATAGGAGCAGAACAGTAGGACGTTAAACCCCATTTCATTTCGTTTAAGTCTGTCCCACACGCACGTGCATAACTCCGTCGTCTCCTCGGCGTCGTCGATGGGTATTTACGCACATGACAAGCTCATAATTAACTCTGTAGTACCTGGCATTGGGTGATCGCGATTTTCAATGCATTGATGACGAGTAATTTGAATGAAATTTTCAATTGATTCATTTTTCATTATTCATTATAGCGAAAACTCTCAGCCCTTAATCTAAATATTATACTACATAATGTATCTTCACTATGGAATATAATCATTATTTTAATTCAGGCGACGTTTTGTTTAGTGTGGGGGGGGGGGGGGGCGAATGGTTAGCACGTGCGAGTTGTATCATAAGGCCTGTCATTGAGTCAACTGGCGTGGTTTCGAATCCCCGGTTGTACGTGACAAGGAGTAGGGTCGCCTGTCCAACCTCATGGGGTTTTCTCCGGGTCCTCCGGTTTCCTCCCACTGCTAAAGACCCCTACGCACAAGCAAATTATTGAAATAAAATTAAACCATATGTTAGTCCCGAAATGACCTAGTTTGTATCGAGTGGACATTACCCCCCCCCCCTCTCTCTCCTGTTTAGTGTATTAATTGCTAAAATGTCGCTTAAAGAATTTATTGCTTTTTCAGATTGTCCACCATAAATCAGCGCGTATTGGGTGTGGTCAGGCTGATTGTACTGGCAAACCATACCCAAAATACTATGTGTGTAATTATGCAAGAGGGTAGGTTTCGTTTTTCTCCGATTCATCCTTGTCAGTGGTGCAAGACAAAAGGCCTAGCAAGGAACAACGCATAGTCGTTCCAATGGAACGAAAACCGAGGTCCCATGTATACATTGGTATGCGCTTAAAAGAACTTTAGAAGTCAGAATTCGACATGGTGTACGCTTGTTTCCATTAACCCAATCGGAGCAGAACAGTAGGATGTTTAATCCCATTCCCTTTCATTTCATTTCTATTTGTATTTATCTAAACTACGATTTATCCGAGATAACGTTTTTGCTAATTTGTTAGAATAAGAGTATATATTTATTTTTAAATTTAGTTCTTTATGTAATTGTTCGAGGATCCTTGTACACAATGTCGAACCCTAGACAATTCGCTACCTAATTTGTGCCGACATTATACTCCGTTTAGTAATATCTCTTGAACAGCTTATGCAAGAGGTAGTGGGCATAATACCTGAACCATTCACCTTAGCTTACATATTAGAATCAAAACGTTGCAAAACCTGGCCACCAAACTTGAATACTTTTGCTTCTGTCTCCCATGACCAAATCGACGTTACCCCCGCCCCCTCCTCTCTCTCTCTCTCTCTCTCTCTCCCCAAACTTCTGGTTATATTCGTATTTAACCCGTTCATTAATGTATATTTGGTATGGTATTTTAGCCAGGACACTTATAGTAATCCCTATACCCAGGGTGAAAGTTGTTCGGCGTGTTCCGGTAAATGCTCCAATAACCAATGTGGTAAGATATCTGACATTATCCATCTATATATTGTTAAACCTGTATGGGTTGCATGAAATATAAATTTCAAATTATTTCAAACAGAGAACGCTAAAAGTCACTGTTACCGCAAAATCTATTGTGAAATTGCATGTACGACTTAATGAATATCTCAGACAGTGTAAATGCATGGGAAAATCTCACTCATGTAGGGCCGGTTTAAAACAAACAGACAAACGACATTAATATTTTATATAATCTGTTGATATTTTATATAATCTGGTAATATTTTATATAATCTGGTAATATTTTATATAATCTGTATGTTGATATTTTATATAATCTGTTGATATTTTATATAATCTGTTGATATTTTATATAATCTGTTGATACTCTATATAATCTGGTAATATTTTATATAATCTGTTGATATTTTATATAATCTGTTGATATTTTATGTTATAATAATGATACTTAAATGTTACTTAAAAGAATTTCCGACCTTCTCGCAATTTAAGATCATGTGATAATGGTACCTTCAACAAAGTCAAATCGTGGTATTTCAGGGCTATGATAACACGTATGTGTATATTAAGTTCCGATCATTGTGTAATATTGTTATTTACATTTTATGGGTGTTATATTTTTATTGTTCGTATTTACAGATTGTGGGGGTAAATTGTGTTATAATGATGGTAAATTAGATTTGTCCACGTGCACATGTACCTGTCCAGCTATATACACGGGTGACCAGTGTCAAACATGTACGTATGTATTAAATCTGATTCAAACACAGATCCTATTTCGTTTCGTTTTACTTGTCTTTACTCCACTAGGGTCTGAAAGAGTTGTTATATAATCCGCGTTCTGGAAGATGTGAGAGATGTGTTCGATCTCTGCATTGGCTGAGAAAGTTCATCCAGATTTTCCGGCGTGGTACTCCCTTGTCAGTTATGCAGGAGGGAGGGTCTAACAGGGACAGCTGTCTACTCGTTCGGATATGACGAAAAACCGAGGTCCCGTGTACACATTGGCGTGCACGTAAAAGATCCCTTGGCAGTTGGAATTCGATATAAGAGTAGGCCGTAGTGCCGCTGCCCGGGCAAAATGTCTCTCATAGCACACTGTATGGAATATGTCCGTCTTCATTAGCCCAGTATAGGAGCAGAACAGTAGGACGTTAAACCCCATTTCATTTCATTTCATTTCCAAGATTCTAATAATGTATATTTCAATTTTACTTTCAGTAACCTGCAACTACGTAGAGAAATTTTGGTGTGCTAACGCCAATACCTCCAATTGTGAAAAATATTCGAATTATCCAATTGATTGTCACATGCGTTGTGGAGTTTGTCCTTATCGTAAGTCAATTAATACATTTGTCCTTATCGTAGGTCCATCCATAAATTGTCTCTATCGTAAGTCAAACCATAAATTTGTTTATCGTAAGTTCATCTATACATTTGTCTCTATGTCCATCCGTAAATTTTTCCTTATCGGAAGTCCATTACAAAATTTGTGAATGTAGGTAGATTCGTTTTGTATCATATTCTTCGCAGTGTTGTATCGATCAGCGGTCACTAAACTGAAGGTCCCTGTTTTCCCAAGTCAGTTGTGAAGGATGGCGGTCCTGGCAAGGAACATCATTTATTTCGGATGATACACAAACAACGAACATCCGTGTAAACATTCGACGCGCCGTTGTCCGGGTCAAACTTTCCGCCATTAGCCAGGATGGTGCCGAAAAGCTGGATCTTAAGGTCCGTTGAATTTCACTTCATCGATCGACGAATCACTTTAAGTTAAAGGGGTATTAGTTAAACATACATTATGCTAGAGCTAAATCTGCCTGTTGCAGGTCTTTCTTTAGGCCTCAAATGTTATATAAACTATTAATTAGACATTTATTAACAAAACAAGACCATAATCAACTCTCAATGGCATCGGGTACTCAAGATTTTAACTAGATTAAAACGGTTCGCCATTTAAAAATTTAATTTAGAAATGGGATAGCGAGGCTAATAGTCTCGAATATACCAGCGCCCTGGTTACCACTATGCACACATCTTGTCAAAACTACAAAAAGTGATAATTTGGCTCAGAATGAAGCAATTTGAATGAAATTTTCAATATTTGCTTTTTTTATCATCTATTTTTGAATTATTATAGCAAGAATGACCAACTCTTTATTAAACTCTTAACTAATGTATCTTTAAGATTAGATAAAGAACTGGCAGGTCTCGCTATAAAATAAATAGTTAATGAAAACAGAATATGCTGAAAATTTTAGTCAAATTGCTTCGCTCTGAACCGAGATATTAGCGATTCAGTTATAGTCTACCCTCGGTCGTCATTTTAACGTAAAATCATCCATCAAAAAAGTATTCAAATTCACTAAACATCTAAGGCTAACGTTGGCATCGAAAATGGATTATGATCTTGATAAGTTGATTAATGTCTAATTAATAATTTAGATAACATTTAAGACCTAAAGAAAGACCTGCAATAGCCAGTTTTAATTCTTGCATAATGCATGTTTAATTGACCTACCAAATAACGTAGCTCTAGTGACATTTTCAGTTGGCTACTGTCCATAATTAATTCCATTTAATATGATTTACCATTTCAGCATGTAACGGAAAGAAGTGTGAAAATGGCGGTACTTTGGATATTCAGTCTTGTTCGTGCACATGTAAAACACCATACTCTGGTCCCACTTGTACTGAAAGTGAGTCAAAAATTATTACAACGAATTTGTTGCCGAGAAAATAATGTTACTGATATGTTCAACAATGATACGCATTATCTGGCTCCATATATGGTCGTCGAGAATGGGAATATGTTCCCTGAGCAGCGAATGCCCTTTAAAGTTTTGCTGCATGCGTGATCTTCATGGTCTAGCCCTGTACCGCCAATGTTACAATCTACTAACATGCTAGTGTATAGTGAGTTTAATCAGAGTTATCCCCCTTTAAGTTGTAGTGTAAACTGGTTACCGATAGTGGCGGTAGGGTTGGAACTAATGTGCGAAGAATTGCCGCTGTTTTGACCTCGAACTCCACTACAATTCTATACATATATGTGCCTAAATGATATTGTATCAGAGCTTCTGATTTTATATAATTCCCCAGTAATCCACTAGACCACACCACCTCGAACTCCACTACAATTATATATATATGTATGCCCCTAAATGAGCATAAATATTGTCTCAGAGCTTCTCATTTGATGAAGGTCTCGGGTAATTCCGCAGACCACACCGGAACACACATACTTCATCTCTGCTCAAATTCCTGAAAACGCCACGTGTTTTAATTCCCGAAGAATAGACAAAGAAAAGGGGCCTAGCCGTAAGATAATACGAAATATCCAGGCCCTGGGGTACACGTCGTTAAACTTCGTAGATTATAAAATGGGAATCACTTGAGCTAGGTTGAATGCCATAATGTTTCAGGTCATGTAGGGGAAAAGTTAGATGGGGATGATACTCGGGAAGTGGGGCGGAAAATGCGACTCGGTTTCGTTCGTCAAAAAAATCCAAAACAATTGTGCGCGTGTTAGTATCTGTTTCAACATTTGTTTTCTAGAAAGTTGTATTAACCTAGACAAGTTTTGGTGTAAGCAATATAAATTAGAGGACTGCAAAAAATACAGCAATTTTCCAAGCGACTGTAGCATTATGTGTGAGGTATGTCCTATACGTAAGTACCTGAAGTTCTCATTATAAAGCCCGTACTTCAAGTCCGACCAATATATAATATAACACATTAATGGCAGTGTTGTAACCTGCTGCATTTACAATAATCAAATACAATCTCTATCAAAATGAACATATACAGAGGCGGATTTAATGGGGGGCGCGAGGGGCGCCCCCCCCCCCCCTAATTTTCGACAGTGCACTTTTTTACTGCTGAAAGTGCCCTTTCTCAGACCCAAATATGTCCGTTCCCAACCCGTTGCAGGGATCCCAAATGACTCAAACCATCGATTCAACACACCAGTCTGGTCTAATTAATGCTTCCACTTGCAAACGAACTCTAGTTGTTTAGCTGACGGTGCCCTAATCCTATAGAGTGACTATAGACAGACATCTTGTGGAATCGGCGGCGTATACGCTCATGCCCATCACCGACGCGCATGAGTGCAACTTGATGTAGCATTGTTTCATGTGTGGACAGTACAAAGTACAAGTTACAAGTCTTAAATAGTGAAGTGGCTAGGAAATAGATTTGTCTTTTTTCCCATCATAATGCCTCGCTCGCCTTGACAATTTTCGAGTAGCATGTTCAACTGGCTTTTTTGCTCGATTTTAAGGCTCTTTTTCAACGATTTCCGAACGTTAACGTAGACGAAAATATCAGCCAAATAGCTCTTGGAATGGCTACAGATGCAAGGAAATGACGGATAATTTTCTTGGCGCCCCCCCCCCCCCAAAAAAAAATCCCCTCTCAGCGGCGTGCCCCGTCTCCGCGGTCAGTGCCCTCATTTTGCGGCGCCCCCCCTTTTCAAAATTCCTAGATCCGCCCCTGCATTATATACAAACAAATCTCCATTATATTATTTTAAACAATTTACATTAACCCCCCTCCCTCCCCCAAATCTTCCAAAAAAATGAACGTGTTAGATATTTGAGGTCTGCTTTGAAGCCGCGCATTTTGTTTTCCACGCAGCACCAATCGGCGATCACATACACATCACATGATAATCGAGCCATTTTGAAATCATGTGATCATATATGTCATTAAGCGTTAGATATTGTTCGACCTAAACATTCGTTCGTCTGTGTTACCATGTTCGTCGACATAAATGTTCCACCGCCTGCGTTCGGCTTAAGAGGAATTTAACATAAACAATTCTTTTCTGATATGGTTAACAAACTACGATAAACATACAATTCACAATGGAATCAAATACAAAACAAAATCCATTTTCATTTCAAGATTTTAACTTCAAGACTTTTTGAAACGTTGAAAATATTTTCATAAGAGTTCAAATTCCAGATTTTTTTTAGATACTTTCAGAAACCAATGAATTGATTTCTTTGTCGTGTAAAATTAAGAAATTATTTTTTAATTTGAATATTTAATGATATATAAAAGTTACCGATAAAACGCTGAAAATGAAACATAAAGTCAATTTTTTGTTTGAAATGTTGATTTTGTGCATGAAATGTTGCCATAATAATGTAGAAACAAGAATCATTAGTTTAGAATGTTGCGTTCGTGTCTAAAATGTTCAAACTGGAATGTAGAAACAAGAATCATGAATATTGTCCCATTTTGTCTTCCATAAGATAGAAGCAGATATTTTCGACAAAAGTACAGATACTAAGAACTTGACTAAATTGTTCCAATGGCATTAATAGTAACTGAACTGGAGTATACAGGTCACAATTACTGATTATTACTGAGCGACGTTTCGACTTAGTTTCTCTGTATTGTGTAGTTATATTTTATTTTTTATCATTGCTTGATACAGACTAGAAACATCTAGTCAAAACATCGCTCGATAAGCAGTAATTGCATTCCATAGAATTGTCACCTGTATGTACGAATTTGACTCTTGTCACTGTTATAAGATCACGAAAGCTTTGACGAATACTTTTTCTAGGCGTTTTAGTACAATCGCGTGGAAACAAGATGAAATGAAATGGGGTTTAACGTCCTACTGGTCTGCTCCGACTGGACTAATAAAGATGGGCAACGTCGTATAGTGTGCTATGAGGGGAATTTCGCCCGGACAGCGGCACTACGGCCTACTCTTATATCAATGTGTACACGGGACCTCGGTTTTTCGTTCCATCCGAACAACTATACGGTGTCCCTTGCCAGGCCCTCTGTCCTGACAACTTACAATGGGAAACCACGCTGGAAAATCACGATAAACTTTCTGGGTCAACACTTCGATCGAACACCCGAGCTCCAGGCTAGCGACCCAACGTCTTACCCAGTTAGCAACCATGGCTACCTATAATCATACGGAAAGAGAAAACAATTAATATTTCAACGCTTTGGAGGTCTTGTGATAGATGAATTTGATTTTACTTCGGCTTGAGGGCCTTTCAGATCTGATTTGATGAATTTAACATGTTAAAATTTCGTTTTGGGTTTTCTGTCAATATGCATATGATTTTTATTTCAGCATGTAATGGTAAGAAGTGTCTGAATGGCGGCAAATTGGATGATGCAGTGTCATGCAAGTGTAAATGTGTTGCACCATACACAGGTGATACCTGCGACAAAGGTAATACACACATTTAATATTTAATATATTTCCACAATATATTTACAATCATAGGCGTACGGGGAAATTTTTGACTGGGGGGGGGGGGAGGCGGTGGTGGTTGGTGCCCAAAAAATGTAGTTAGGTTCTTAGTATGTTACATAATAATAATAAATTCGCTGTTAAATTGGACACATTCAAGAACACAATATCTTTTTTTTATACAACTTTTACAAAATACAATTGTGTGCCCAAATTTTCCCACATTTGGTGCCCAAAATGGGGGGGCGGCCGCCCCCCCCCCCCCTGCCTCCCCAGCTCCTACGCTTATGTTTACAATGGTCAACTTCAGAGTGGTCTGACTGTACATACCAGAGTTATTGTCGTCCGTGTCTATATTTTGAATGATTCTGGAGAGAGAGAGAGAGAGAGAGAGAGAGGGAGAGAGAGAGAAGGGGGATGGGGTTTAACATCCACTCGACACAAACTAGGTCATTTCGGGATAACACATGGTTCAATTTTATTTCCATAATTCGCTTGCGCGTAGGGGTCTTTAGCAGTGGGAGGAAACCGGAGGACCCGGAGAAAACCCACGGGGTTGGACAGACGACCCTACTCCTTGTCACGTACAACTCAATGAGAGGCCGTATGATACAGCGCGCACGTGCTAACCATTCGGTCATCCAACCCCGCATTATTCTGTAGTTTTGTCATTACATACGGGAGTGGGAGTGGGATGTCTATTTGTTTACAGCGTGCGCTTGAAACCATAAGGTCTGTCATTGAGTGAAGTACCGTGGTTTCAATTCCCCGCTTGTACATGACTAAGAGTAAGGTCGCTGTTCCAAACTCGTGGATTTTCCCCCGGGCCTCCAGTTTCCTCCCACTACTAAATACTAAAATTGAATCATATGTTAGTCCTGAAATGACCTAGTTTGTGCCCCCCCCCCCTTACTCATTGTGATTTTATCAAGTAATTATATTATTACATGTGCATATTTCATTACGTGATGGGAGTTTGTCATTACGCGGTGTGATTGTCATTACGTGGTGTGATTGTGTCATTACGTGGTGTGATTATGTCATTACGTGGTGTGATTATGTCATTACATAAACATCCGAAATATAGCCACCTAAGGCAGTAAATGCGTTCCATATAAAATGCCTGGGAAATCTTCATATTGTACAGTACCAAATGTGAATAATGCGATATACGCAGGGCACAATTACAAAGCCAGGGTGCCCCACGCAGTCAAAGTTTTCTCTATTCAAAGTTGAACTCATCACAGCGAATGTCCGATTGTCAAGTGATTACTGGCTAGATACGTGACACGAGATTAATAAGACTTGTGTCATATAAAGCTATAAATAGCCATCGCACGTGAAATTTTCGACACATCTATCAGTTCTTAAAGTCGTAAAAAATCTATTGTTTACACTAAAATTTATATTTTTGGTTATTACATCAACTTAACACAGTTATTAGTATTGAAAGGCATTTTACAAAAAAAGACATCAAGCAAACCCAGTTCCGCATAGAATCTTTGCCTGTGCCATTGTCAGTGCTGCGGGACGGAGGGCCTGACAAGGAAAGCTGTCTAGTCGTTCGGAAGGGCGAAAAACCGAGGTCCCGTGTACACATTGATTCCTTGACAGTTGGAAGTCGATATAAGGGTAGACGTAGCGCCGCTGTCCGGGCAAAATTTCTCTCATAGCACTCTGTATGCGCTTTTTTATTAGCCCAGTCGAGACAGACAGGACTCCACCCCTCTCACAGGGCTGTTTTATCAATTGTCCAGTGTTTTAGGGAAAGCACCAGTGGTTGCAACAATCTGAATAATATCCAACTACAACTTCCGTAGAATAGAGGAGAGGATTGAATAGATTTGGGTGATGAAAATAGACCAACTCCGTCAAAACCCCGGGTCATTGCCTCAGAAATATGGTATTTTCCTGATGTAACACCTACTCTAATCTGTTTTTGTTACAGCTGAATGTGATTCTGATAAATCATGGTGCCCTTGTATCGATACAGCCGGTTGTGATATATATAGCAACTATAAAACAGACTGTGGTTTTAAGTGCGGTATATGCAAGGGTAAGCATAGTCATGTCTCTTCTTATTTATTAATGAGTGTGTGTGTGTGTGGGGGGGGGGGGGTAACGCATGCGTTATAGAACACCTTTGACGTTCACTGGAAGCTTCCCTTATCAGAAGGTCTGTCATCTGTCATCTGTGATATGGTTTCAATTCCCCGTTTACTGTGACAAGGAGTAGGGTGGCCTGACCAACCTCGGGGGTTTTAGTCGGGTCCTCCGATTTCCTCGCACAGTTAAAGACCCCTGCGCACAAGCGAATTATTCAAAATCCTTGTTGCTGTGGAGTGCAAGTTAGAGCCCATTTCTATCTCTCTTATTTGGGGATCACGTGGCTAAGTGGGTAAGGCGCTGGCTCGCTAGCCTGGAGGTCGGGTGTTCGATCCCTGCATTGGCCGAGAAAGTTCATCCAGATTTTCCGGCGTGGTTCTCCCTTGTCAGTGATGCAGGACGGAGGGGCTGACAAGGAAAGCTGTCTAGTCGTTCGGATGGGACGAAAAACCGAGGTCCCGTGTACACATTGGCGTGCACGTAAAAGATCCCTTGGCAGTTGGAATTCGATATAAGAGTAGGCCGTAGTGCCGCTGTCCGGGCAAAATTTCCCTCATAGCACACTGTATGGCGTATGCCCGTCTTCATTAGCCCAGGTTAGGAGCAGAACAGTAGGACGTTAAACCCCATTTCATTTCATTTCATTTATCTCTCTTATTTATTAAGAGTAGAGACGGAGGGGGATGGGCACTAGACTAGAATATCCCGGGTTCGAATTCCGGCATGGGTAGAAAAGATCCCCTCGGGATTATTCGGTTCTCTCTTGTCAGGGGTGTCGTCTATGAGACGGCCGGTTGTCCATCCGGATATTCATTGACGTTCACTGGGAACTTCCCTTATAGACCACCATTGACGTTCACTGGAAGCTACCCTCATAAAACACGGCTATGATTCACTGGAAGCTTCCCTTATAGAACACTGTCCGGATTCACTGGGAGCTTCCCTCATAAAACACTGCTAGGATTCCCTGACCCAGTTGGTGCGGTAAAGTAAGTGGTAAACTATTTTATATTTCATTCTATTTCAAATGCACAAATGATCCATACAGCAGAAGTCCCCATTTTGGAACTTGTTCCAACTCCGCTAGAAGATTCCAATTAATATCCGCATTGTTACCAATCGTCTTTTTTTATTTATTTTAGCCGATTAATGCACCAGATGATGTGTGTGAACAACTCCAAGTTGTCTTATGTTTGTCTCGGAGCATAAATTATCATAAATATATTCTTATTACTAAATTTTAAATTTCAATCAGTATTTCTTTTATTCAAAATGTATATCTATCCTATATTAAAGTTACAAAAGTTCAATCAGTATTTCTTTTATTCAAAATGTATATCTATCCTATATTAAAGTTACAAAAGGACATTATTTTATAAATTTCAACTAATAACCAATGACTGTAATTGGTCATCCCACACGTTTTATGTTTAATAAAATTTTATCAGCAGCAATATTTGTTTGTTTGTCTTGTGTGGAGAGGTTTGGGGGTGGGGGGTGGGGGGTGGCGGTCGTCTCTTGTACTGAAAAGTTTATATACTAAACAGCAAAAAAAGAAACCCAAAAAAACCGTCAGTACGATTTCAAAATCAGAGAGGCACTTTAATCAAACCATTCTAGTAAACGACTTACTAAATGGATCAAAGCAATTTTTGTGAACAATATGTTGACTCATTAGTGATTAATTCATCACCATTCCGAGACATTACGAGAAGGTTTAGAGTCTGTGCACAGTCTATATATCAATATCTGGTGTGTCCACCGCGAGTGCCAATAACAGCAGCGCAGCGTCTGTACATGGAGTGGACCAGAAGATTGATGAACACCATTGTCACCTGGGACCACACTCTAGGAAAAGCCTGGACCAATCCGAATTTGGTCATGCCGAATTTGAACCAAATCTGTTAATAATTGCGACCTGTAGATTATTTACAGACAAAATATTAACAACAATGTGTATGTATCACCGCGCCTGTGCGTCTGAAATGCACTAAAACTATATATTTGCCGTCCTTGGGGTATAAGGAAAACGTATGCTACGTTCTAAGTTAATCCATTCCGAATTGCACCCTATAGGCAATACACACAATAAATTCGTCGTTGTACCACTCTGGAGGGTCGGGCATGCATCAAAATCTATAGTTGCCGTCCTTAGGGTATAAGGAAAACGTGTGCTATGTTCCAAGTTAATCCATTCAGAATTGCACCCTGTAGACAATACACACAATACATTCGAAGTGCACCCATCAAAATTTATAGTTGCGGTACATCGGGTATATGGAAAAAGTTTGCAAAGAATTGCGCCGTGTAGGCTATACACAGAAATTGTACGTGACACTACTCTGGGGTAGGGCATTCATCAGGTGCCGTAATTAGGTTATAAAGAATAGGCATGCCACATAAGTATGAAAGTAACGTGAAATACATCTAAATAGTAGGAGCAAAATGCACAGGTAAAGATAATGAGATGAACATATTTTGGCCAATAATAGAAAGATATTTGGGTGGCCGTATATCCGATGTTTGAATTTAATTACATGCATTTAAGAGAGAGAGAGAGAGAGAGGGGGGGGGGGTAATAAATCTATCCTGTTTTACTGTGAATAGAAGCTTTAAATAACCTTCATTGAGAACGTTGTTTCTTTTCCAAAACCTCATAGGATCAGTAAATTTTATTTTGTTTCTCTAAAAACATTTTTTTTTTATTTCATAAATGTTTGGTAGATCATTAGTTCACAATGTGGAAATGAATTTAATATTAGGATCCATAGACGATAAGATAAAATTAGACATGTCCGTGGTTATTATTTCTTGATTAATTTGTCTTCTCTTCTCATCTCCATATAATAGTCATTATTCATTTCCTGTCAGTTAAAAAGACTTTGTCTCAAATGAGTTGAAAATAATTAATTTACATAGTACTGACAATAAAAGTTTTATTGTTCAACTGACATATTACCCAACACTTATGATTAATTTCCTCCCAGTTGACTTTTATCCTTTCACAATGAGAATATGCTCAAAATTGTAATTTTACCGATATATAGAATTTCAACAATCTCATTAAACCACAGATCCTATTTTGTTTCGTTTTTATAGTGCAAAATTTCGTTTTACTTGTCTTTACTACACCGATCTAGAAGAGCTGTTATATAATCCGCGTTCTGGGTGATGTGACGGATTAGCCAATGAAACAGTCTGTTACGGCGAGTTTTTAAGGGATGAGGTGCACGGAACTTTGGGTAAACCACTAGAAGCGTCAATGCTGCTTGAGTAATCAATCCCTGACGTCATACGGTCAACAGCCGCTCGTATGACACCTGACGTGACCTTTTATTACAACTGGTCAGATCTTTATGTAGTGTAGGCCATGGAAAGTATAAAAAAAACAAAACAAAGATGATCTGTATTTTAATCAGAGTGTAATTTTAAGTAAGACAATTAAACTAAAGGGTCTTTATTATTTCACTGATAATTCCGTTGAAGTTGAAAAGTTATTATATGGGACGGTGAGAGGGTATCTCACAATTCAAAAATAGAATTGGCTGTCACTAGATAAGGGACACGAGAAAAATAGAAAAATCCCGTGCATTCCCCCGTTTTTATTCATTCTGTTCTTAATAAAAACATGGTAATGGACGGACTTTTTCTAATTTGTTCGTTAACTTTTAAGTACTGACAGCCAATTCTTTTTTTTGAATTGTCAGATATCCTCTCATCGTCTCATATAACAACTTTTCATCTTCAACTGAACTATCAGTGAAATGAAATTCGATCGTTTGTCTGTTACCGCTCGTTACTTCAGTCTGTTATATAGAAGGACAACTCGTGTTTGTCATGTTTGGCGTCACTTCTCGTATCTTCACGTGCTTGTTACACATCTGTCGTAGCAATGATCTCTGTGTTAAAATTATATTTGGGATGTATTTAACGAGCTCTATCACATATTTTATAATGATTGACACCAATATTGTCCTTTAATCGTTCGGTATTTATTCAATTTATAGAGTAGGCAGGCTACAGCGAAAAAAGAAATATAATATAGTATACAAAAAATATACAAATCTGTACCTGACCGGACTGAAGAATAAAGAACCGTTCTTACTAATCTTGATCAGATTTACGATTTTTTTTATTGATTTATCATGATGATATTTACAATATCAATGATGATATGCATTGCACATTTAACAATAAACGTTTACAGTTCTAGCAATATAAAATGAAATGAAATGGGATTTAATGTCCTGCTCCGTCTGGGCTAATGAAGACCGACATACGCCACACAGTGTGCTATGAGGGAAATTGTGCCCGGGTAGCGGCACTATGGCCTACTCTTATATCGAATTCCAACTGCCAAGGGATCTTTTACGTGCACGCCAATGTATACACATGTATTCGGTTTTTCGTCCCATCCGAACGACTAGACAGCTGTCCTTGTCACTATAGCAATATATTAAAATATAAGAGAATAATATTTTACGTATTTAATAATTCAATATTATTAAGTAGAATTTCCTATCGAGAATAAAAGCCTAGTCTTATTAGGTCTTATTATCGAGAGCGAGAGAGAGAGAAAAAATTTGGGGTTTAACGTCCCTCGACACAAACTAGGTCATTTCGGGACTAACATATGGTTTAATTTTTTTTCAATAATTCGCTTGCGCGTAGGGTCTTTAGCCGGCTGACCTACTTACTTTCACCCACCACCGGAAGTCACCACTGATTGGCTATGGCGTCATGTATTATTCGGCGTGAGTGCATGGTCTAGTTAGTATTATAGACGTCATTGGGGATCGCCTCGCCAAACTCGTGGGGTTTTCTCCGTTACAAGTATTACGCCCAAGCAAATTCTTGAAATAAAATTGAATGATATGTTAGTCCCGAAATAATATAGTTTGTGTCATGTGGACGTTAAAATTGAATGATATGTTAGTCCCGAAATAATATAGTTTGTGTCATGTGGACGTTAAAATTGAATGATATGTTAGTCCCGAAATAATATAGTTTGTGTCATGTGGACGTTAAACTCATTATTTATTTATTCATTTAGTGTTTAAGATATTGATAAATGTATGATAAAACAGAATATATATCTGTTAGAACAAACACACCAATCGAGATAACTATAATAACAATTCCGAAATATCCACAATAAACCGCGGAAGGTCGGGTGTCATCTGCGCTGGTTTTCTTTCTTCTGGTGCTGGATAGCTTCTCAACAGCAACAGCCAGGTTCTTTTTAATATCCACTTTATACTGCTTTATAATTTTGATTTCCTCTGGCCTTAGAGATAGCAGGGGACAATAACGTACACAAGAGACGGTTGTGTTGAAAATACCAGAATTCTGTGACATAGTTTCTATTAAATTGTCTATCCAACAATTATGTAGTGTACTGTTGATTGGACTTGACGTTGTCACCTTCTGTGTGGAGGCCTGTCCAGTTGATAATGTAGGGTCGGTTGAAAAAGTTACCCCGTTGTCGGTTGTTTCTTCAATATTTGTCGTGGTTATGGAGGCCTGTCCAGTTGATAATGTAGGGTCGATTGAAAAAGTTACCCCACTGTCGGTTTGTTCTTCAATATTTGTCGTGGTTATGGAGGCCTGTCCAGTTGATAATGTGGGGTCGGTTGAAAAAGTTACCCCACTGTCGGTTTGTTCTTCAATATTTGTCGTGGTTATGGAGGCTTGTCCAGTTGATAATGTGGGGTCGGTTGAAAAAGTTACCCCGTTGTCGATTGGTTTTTCAATATTTGTCGTGGTTATGGTTTCTTCTGTTGAGGAATATTTGATGTCTTCAGTTACTGTATCCAGAGATGTGGTAGAAATCATATAACCTTCCGTTGAAGTCGATACAGTATCCGATGTTGATTCATTTAAATCTGCTAATGAAAAAACAATTTTAAAACAAAGTTATAACACGAATCCCCGAACTGTATCTTAGTCGAGTAACTTCCACAAAGTCTAACCACTTGTCTGTGTATTCCAAAGACCGTATGCATATACGAATTATTGAAATAATTTTGAATAACAGGCAACTCACTCGACTCATTGCAAATCATCTGAAGGCTAAAAGTTCAGTCAACATGAGGAATGAAATGAAATGGGGTTTAACGTCCTACTCTAATCTCTTGTTCGTACATTCGGAGGGGGGGGTGTGTGATGGCTGAATGGTTAGCGTATGCGCGCTGTATCATAAAATCTGTCAACTGGCGTGGTTTCGAATCCCCGGTTGTACGTGACAAGGAGTAGGGTCGCCTCTTCAACCTCGTTGGTTTTCTCCGGGTCCCCCGGTTTCCTCCCACTGCTAAAAGACCTCTACGCGCAAGCGAATTATTGAAATAAAATTAAACCATATCTTAGTCCCGAAATGACCTAGTTTGTGTGGAGTGGACGTTAAACCCCATTACTCTCTCTCTCTCTCGTACATTCCGCT